GCGCTGTGATGACGTCACGTACGCGCTTTCGTCGAGCGCGCTTTTGTGGACCGCGGTTTTGACGGGTCACGTTTTTTACTGTTTTTAAAGATTAAACATTCAATAATTTTTTAAGAAAAATGTTTTCTTCTTCCTCAAGGAAAAAAACAGTCTAGATCAGTGTCACCAACCAGTGGTCTGAGACAAAATTTTGGTGGTACGCAGAGAAATATTTGCATTTTTCTTGAGGAGCCCAGCCAAGGTTTCCTGCGCATCTTGCCCTTCAGTGCCTTGACTCCCAGGGACAAGATGTAGCAGTTAGCTTGGCCACCTGTTAGCGGAGAGAAGTGCCCAGGGTTAACACTACCTTTAATGCCCATTGTGGATGCTAGATCAGCCTCCTGCAAACTCTGATCTTTCAAGGAGTGCTCACTGATGCGGCACAGGAAACTTTTGCCGGGCTCCTCGAGAGACGAGAGTTTGCAGGGGGACGATCTATAATCTGCAATGGATAGCAAAGATAGGGTTGACTCCAGCTGCTTCTCTCTGCTGTAGTGCTTCCCGGATAGGGTTTACCAGTCCGAGCCCCGAGCAGCAGGAGACGAGGGTTGCCTTGGCGCCACCAGCAGGCGCAAATCTACCACAGCAAAGGCGGGATGCTGGCCATCAGTCTCCCCATCTTTGTTTTCCTTCACTCAGATTGACCAAGCTTCTTGAGAGAAGGTTTCTAGGCTTTGTGCCTGGACCAGGCACTTTCTCTTGGGCCTCCCACCCAGAAGCTTTGCAGAAACAGAAAGGTAGGCCTGAAAGGCAGCTGAGCCTCTCCCCCTCCCAGTGGTCCGTGGGATTTAAAATTATGGATTTGGTGGTCCCTGAGGTCCAAAAGTTTGGAGACCCCTGGTCTAGATGCCTTTTGAAAAAAAACACTTTTGAAAGAACCCTCTGAATAGAATTTTTCTCTCTATTATCCCACTGCCAGAAAAGTAATAAAAAAAGGATGAAGGGAACTGTAGGAAGTTATTACCCAGCCCTCTCCCAGAAAAATGAAATATCCTATTGAAAAGGCAGAATATTTCTCTGGATGTGAAAAGAAAGAAACATGTTTTAAAAGACAGAATAGCTGCCTGTAGCTTCCTGCCCATCCCCACCTTGTTAATGGGCCATTAAGAAAGCCAAGCTAGTCCACTTTACCTAATAAAGACTT